AAGAACCTGATGAGATTAAGATCGAACAAACACCATGTCCAGGGAAAGAACCTGATGAGATTAAGATCGAACAAACACCATGTCCAGGGAAAGAACCTGATGAGATTAAGATCAAACGAACACCATGTCCAGATCCAGTTAACCCTTCATTTCCAGTCGCTCGCACTAAACCAAAATCTACGAAGAGTCACAGAGCTCCACCACCGCCTCTGACCCTTCCATACGACAAAACAGACAATCCTAGTGTTCAAGATGGTCCGAAGTCTTTTTGGGTGAAAACTAAGTTTTGGAGTTAGTAATTACTGGGGTAGGTTAGCCTGAGCTGTTATTTGTCAATCAACAAATACTGTTATGACTTGGTTGGAAAAGTAGATATTACTAAAAAGGTGTTTGTGGATAAAATGGTAAAATGGGATTTTGAGGAAGTTGAATATGAAACAGAGGTTGACTCTGTTAGTGGGTTGTTGTTGAGGTGCCAGGAGGTCAAGTTCAGATGAAGATGAGGAGTTTTGAAGTACGTCAGGAAATTTGGAGGTGTACCTTATTAAGTTGTTTGAAGTTTTTCTATGATTTGAGGGCTCTGTTTGTCAGAATGAGTGATTTTATTTTGATATGAAGTTTTCTCATGTTTTTTTAGTCCATGGAGGTTAGAAAATAATGTTTTTATTTGGATTTTCATTTGTAGGTAAGTGATTGGGGCTTAGATAGAGTGATTTTGTTTGTTATTTTTGGTAAGCTCATTCTGAAGGTAATACATCCCTCCTAGAAGTTTTTTTCTACATATAATCTGATTTTGTTATTTTTTGACATTTAATCTATGTTTTGACATATGTCTGTGTTGATTTTTAGTAAAGGAAAGACATATATACTCTTCCTTGTAGATTTTGTTTTGTCATGATTCCAACATTTTGGATTTTTGTGTCTTCATATTTACATTATGCAGAGGTGTTGATACAAGGGGGGTGAACAAGAGTTATAGGTTCACACAAACTCAGAGATAAGCTTCAGTGATTAAACTTGTGGTTATAATTTTAAGACACATGACATTGATTTTTGTTTTTAATTTTCATTTTAATGTGACATTTATTTTCCACAAGAGACTGCCGTATGTTTTCTGTCATTCCAGGAGATGACAGCCGTGTTCTGGTGTTTAAATGGACGTTGGACTTTTGGACACTGGACTTTAATGCTCACCTCAGGAACTTTTGTGCTCGTGGAGGGACTCAAAACTGGAAACTGCTCTGAGTCTGGGATAAGATGAAGCATTGACTGTTTCAAGTTCACGTCAAGTCTAGTTCAGGTCTATCTCAAATACCTCAAGATGAACAGTCATGATATCAGCTGGGTTCTAATGTTTTTTTTATGTCTGAATTTTGAAGTTTGTGTTATGTCATGACTTATGTTTTTGTTTGAATTTTATATGCTAATCATTTGATTCATATTAAGTTTTTGATACGCCATATTTTTGAATTACATTGTGCCTTATAATCAATCTTAAATAGGTTGCATGCTTTTTAGTTGTAGTGAGGCTTTTGTTAAAATTAGCATAAGGAATGCTCTGAGGACTTTGATTGATATTAAGTCCTTTAATTAGCTAATGTTAATTGGTAATTTAAAAGGAGATTCTTTCACAAGATTGGCTCAGTGTGAAGGTTCTCTGATCTCGGGATCTTTTTGATCCTCCTTCTGCTTCATGAGGGAGGTTTTTCTGATTCTGGAGATCTAATTAGCTTATGAAATTTAGGATTGAGAGCTTACCTGTGGATTTCCTGTAGGTGACACTTTGGTCACTGTCAGGAGGTTTGTGGGTGTGGCTAATGAATAGTCGAATTGGGATTTTACTTACTTTAGGCGTAGCTTAACTAGCTTTAAAGTAATGTCTTAAATTAGGATGCAAATAGGATTAAACAGGTTCCTATTTAATTTTAGGCTAAAAATTTAGTTTAAATCTTATTTACCTTATTATACACATGAAAATTTTCAGCTGGACAATGTGTCTTTTATGAGAGATGTATGTAAGTTTGATTATTTGTCGATACTGACGTATCGAAGGGGGGAATGTCGTATATTTGTGTACTGGCCCTTTAAGACCGGAGCGCGCATGAAGGCGAGAGCGAGCGTCAAGCACGCGCACGCTTCTCAGGGCAGGGAGTCAGAGTAACATTTTAGCTGGGTAGACGCTTTTCATTTCTCGTAAATAAACGATGTCCGAAGCTGAAGTATCGCCTCTTCGTCATTCAGTGTTAGATTAGAGTTTATTGACATCTGACGAGTCTACAGAAGCGAAGCCACCGCCAGCCAGCCGGAGAACAAGCCACCGACAGCCGAACCAGCTGAAGCAGCCCCAGATCAGCCCCAAAGACAGCAGCAGACGGGAGCAGACAAAGAGAGAGCCGAACCGAGCCGAAACGGAACCAGAGACCAGAAACAGAGACACTACAACAGTAACAGATGTGACACACACACACAAAAAAAGACTTTGCTTAAACTTGGATGGACCAACACAAGTGATTTTGACTGATTGGAAACTTCAGCCATTTACTCACCGGCAAAAACCAGTCATGGAAACAAAACTGCACAATGAAAGGTCATGTGACTGTATTACTTATTGTCTGATCAGATGGATACATGATAAATGTTAGGGTCCTGGACATTCTGCTGTTTTTGAGTTTGTGCTTTTTTTGTTTATTCAGCCATGTTTTTCTAGTTTGACCTTGTGTTGGACTTGCGACACGTCCAAGGTGTCCCTTGTCTCTCACACACTCAGTGCTGGAGACTGGCAGCTCACTCACCACTCGGAAAGGTAAACTGATGGATTACTTGTGTTTAGCACGTTTTCAGCTTCTCTGCTCCTCATTGTGTCATTTGTCATAGCTCCACTCTGTCAGCTTATAGTCATTTTTTAATCACACCTGTTCTTATTCTGTCCAGCTGAACTCAGTGATCACCAGTCCCTTTGTTCTGTTTGTTCAGCCTGGTAGTCCCTACCTTGCATTTTTTTTCCATTTGCTGTATTTCTATCATTTTGCTTTGAATAAAGTTTTGTTCAAGCCCCCTGCATCCTTACCAAAGGCAGAACCAGACAACTCTTTATAGGGGTGGCCAGACTGGGACCACTACTCAAAAAGTAGTATACTTGAAGTTCATTTTAATAAGTATACTTGAGTATAAGTAAGTTTATCAATGGGCACCATGTACTTGTAGTGTACTAGAAAGTATATTGAAATAAAACTTGTTTGTACTAAATTGGGACATTTTTAAAGTTTATAAAAAGTATACTTTAAGTATACTGTTATGTCTTTTTAAGTTTATACACTTACAAAAAAGTATACTTTAAGTACATGTCATTAACTATACTGAAGTATATAAAAGTGTATTTCCTTAAGTGTATTTTTATTTACCTTGTAAACTGATACGTGTACAAGCAGTTTACCAACAAATATAATTCTAGGACTAAATTGGCCCACAAAGTTTATAAAAGTATACTCAGAAGTATACTGAAAGTAATCCAAGTATAGTTTTAGTTTAATCTTGAAATATACTACAAATAAACCAGGCTGTGTGAAAAGTGTACTACTAAAGTTTATCTTGACCAAAAGTTTAAACAATAGTATAAACTAAGTATACTTGAACTTTTAGTACAAGCCAAGTATAGTGTAAGATAAACTTGGTTAAGTATATCTCAGATTGGTACACAAAAGCAAACTGGAAGTATACTTTATTTGAAGTTTAAAATTAGTATACTTCGAGATACTTGCGTATACTACTTTTTGCAAAGGGCAGAAAACAGCATTTCCACCCTCCTTACATGGCAGTGTTGAGAATGAAGTTGTGTTGCTTGGTTATGATCTCATTTTCTCACACAGACCAGGACTACCATGTAGAATTACATCATGAAGATGTGAATAATGTGAATGTATTCCCAAGATAGTAAAAGCAAATGGTCTGAAATTAACCAATGACTGTAGCAGACTAGAAACAAAAACAAAAAGGGTCACTTAACGTATCTCTCAACCCACTTTATGTTTGTCATCTTTGGTGCTTTATTGACCAGTGCTTCTATGTCAGCAGGTGAAATCTAGTTAGCATTGGTTCCAGTTTCTCAAAGATGTTTTATTGTTTAATCTGCAGGGTGAATAATAGTTTCATGAAATATGGGTGTCTTTTTTAATTATAAAGTCATCATTCAAGGTTAACTTCCTAAACTGTGTGAAGTAATTGATCCACTTTAATGCATTATTACTGATTTATTTCTTTAACAAAGACAGCATTAGCAGTGAACTTTTTCATAAAGCACATTCAAGCAGATGGTGACATCATTTACATTGTGGATCATTTGTTGTCAAACAAGTATCAAAACCAAAAGGTGTAAAAAGGTTTCAGGACAAGAGTAAGAAGAGTTCATCTGGGTCGTCTTGCACGGAGCAGCTTGTCCCAAAGGTGTGTTTAAATGGAGATCTTTAATCCTTTTTCACTGTAAAAGCACAAATATTAAATGTTAAAAATGTGTCTTAAAATTTGTGAACCGATAAAATAGGTACTTACTTCTGAACAAACTTGTGGTCAAGCAAAGGGATTTCCAAAAGCATTTGCTGATCCAAAAGTCTGAGCAACAGAGCTACTTTGCTACAATAAAAAAAAATTAATAAAAACAGAATATATTAGTCACTTTAGTCAAAAAGAGACACGTTACAATCATTTCAGGAAAACATGTCTGCATATTTTACTGTGGCTACAGGCGGAGCTCCGAAAGGATTCGAATCTGGGGCTCCGAACGCTTGATCAAACATGTCCGGCCCCTGCGTCGGTGCTGGACTGGTGGTGCTGGGAGCAGGAGAGAAAGCAGCGTTTAGAAGGTCGGGTGTAAAACTTTGAGCTGGGGCAGGAACCGGTGCTGGAGACGGTTTAGGGGCATCTAAACAAACAGAAAAACACTTAATGAAAAACAGGTCTTTTTCTACAGAAATCCACTGCAGTCAGTGAGTCTTCAGGGTACCATTAACTGCAAGTGACGACATCTGATTGATATCAAAGTCGTCGTGATCTGCAGCATCCTGAGCCAGGCCCACTTTATTGGAGAAGTACTGATCGAAGGCACCAGACTCCTGGTTGGTGGGCGGAGCAGAGCCGGGAGGCAGCTCTCCTTTCCTGGCTGGGATAGCAGGAGGTTTGACAATCTGGAAGTTTTTGAACATGTCCTTCCCACTTTTCTTCTCTTTTCCTCCGAGAGGATCCAAAGCTGTGAAGGCACTATTCTCCACTTTTGGAGGGGCCTCCGCAGGTGGCCTTGGAGGGGGGCGGGACGGACCGGGTTGAAAAGGATTGTTAGCAACGGGCTGACCCCATGAGAGGTGAGGTGGAGAGAGGGGAGGAGCTGAGGCAAACTGTGGGGACATCTGTGGGCCCCAGGCCGGGGGCTGCATCTGAACACCAAACGCAGGTGGCTGCAGGAAGGGTCCCGGAGCTGGACCTCCTGGCATGGGGAACATGGTGGGTGCAGCGATGGAGACACCCCACATGCCAAAAGCAGGGACACCAGTGGCAGCTGGTGGAGGCATCTGAAGATTTCCTAATGGTTTGGAGGAAAAAAAACAACTTTAAAACATGACAATTTGAATATTTTAAGGTTCTTGAACAAAAAAAAAGAACTTTATAATCAGTGGTGGGAACAGTTTTGCTCATCTCCTTATCTGCTATTAGCACGACTAACATTTCAATGGACAGGTTACCAATAAATAAATAAAGGGAAAAATAAAGTCAGTGCAGAGTCCAAAGTATTTGGAGTTAGTCCTCTAAAACCTGTCTGTGTGCAATGGAAGTTTTATGTTATTTTTATTTTTGTTTCAGTTGCTTCTTTTATTTTGCATTAGTGAATTCTTAAAGGGATCCCCGATTAGTTGTAACATTAGACTTTATTTGATAAACATTTAACTGTAAAATAAAGACTAAAAATACTGTAGGATGTTT